TCAGGTTCTGCTGGCTCTTTTAACATGTCAAACTCCGGAGACTTGTTCATGAGTGTGCAGTCCCTCAATGGGGACTCGTACCAAGGGGGGCAGGTTGGGGCCAACATACAATCCCAGGTAGGCGTCTCTCCAAGTTTAGTGTCCTACATGACCAAAACTCTTGAGATTACATGTGCAATTGTTCAACCGCTGTCCAGCCTGGGAGTGCAGAGGCCCACAATAACTTGACCTACACAGTGAAACAGAGGTTATACTTAGCCTGAAGCTTTATATTAATGTAGAAGCCATTGTCAAGCCACAGTTGAGTAGACGACTGCAGACAGTTTTGGAAACGGTGCAACACTCATCAGTGCTCCTGACAAGAGTTCACATAGCCACTGGTGCACTGTAGCTCCCTGACCTTGCCCCGGTGGACAGTGATGACCAGCACAGTGTTTCTGAGTGTTACAACTCTCACCGTAGATTAAGGAATCACCACCCGCGGTGATATTCTCATTTGGTTGCTGATTGGTTGGTGCTTTTGGCATCATTTTCTCTCCAGCCCCCTTTTCTATTCAGATCAGCTCTGCAAATGCTTTAGGTCATTCATGAATATGCAGCAGGGACGACCCTTATAGGAGGTAAGGAGGTCTTGAGGGTCGGACTTTAATTAGTGAAACTCATGTTCCTTTAAAAGGGTTATTTTTCCGAACGTGGCAGAATGGCCTCGCTCTAAGGGCTGTACAATTCAAAGAAAGTGAAAAAGAAAAGAGAAAGTATAACTTTCTTTTCTTATTTGTTGTAAAATCCATATGGCAGGTGTGTTTTCATGCATAAACTGGCGGGCTGCTCTGCCAAAAGCTTCCAGTGAATCTGTAGAGAAACATGGAAATGGCAATATTCCAACAAAACTTTAATAGTGCAAGGTGTGACGCTGGGTAAACATGTTTCGATGTGAAGATTCATCAGAGCATTTGCTTTAGTGTTGTGTGGTAAAGAAAACAAGTCTCATAATACAGTAAACAATATTGATAGTAATGTGCAGCTACATTTAGAAAGAATAGTTGCAAAGTATTGCTTTTAATGTCTTAAAATTACTACTACTACAACTACAACTACAAACACATTCATAATTAGTTACTTCTTGTCGTTGTTTTTGTATTTTCGTCCTTTTGCGACGTCTGTTATCAAGCTTGTAATAGCAGCCAAATCATTCTGATTCGCTGTTTGTAACCTTTTCCTGTTTATGGTACCCTTTTACTATCAGACTGACCTTTCCTTGTGCATGGCTGTCTTTGTTATCCAGAGCTTTTGTCTGACCAGGCCTTTTGTCTGTGTGTCCCCGCTGTTCCAGGTGGATACCCTTCGCCATGTTATCAGCCAGACCGGAGGATACAGTGACAGCCTCGCAGCCAGCCAGATGTACAGTCCACAGGGCATCAACGTAAGACCTGTAAACAATCTCCTTCTGTTCTTCTCAACATTTTCTTTGCTGTCTTCCTGTGCATTGATTCCCCAGTTGTAGGTTGCGTATGATATTGTGTAATTTGTGTGCACGCCGGGATGCCACTTAGCATAGTTTGCCGGGGTTGGGCTGTTGTCCAGCCAGTTGCCCCCCTGCTCCAGTCGTGCCCTAGGTGGCAGGAAATGAGGCAGCTACCAGGCTGAGTAGCTGGACACGCTCCTAGTCTGTCGGAGGATATTAGCGTTAGTGAGACACCTGCAGTCGACAGGAACAAGGACACAGGTGTCACCCTCCCTCCCAACGCTGCTCTCACATTGGCACCATAGGACAAGTCATACCTCCCGTCCCCTTCCAAGACTGGGCTCGCAAAAAAAAACTTCCCAGTTGCTAATTCTTAAAATAACTCTTTAACTAGCCTGTCAAAGACTGGGTCAGTTTTCTCCATGCTGGGCTGGGCAGGGCGGGACAGGCAACACTGGAGGCAGTGCGTTAGCATGTAGATCCATAGCGACAGGCTGCGCAGGGCTGAACAGAATCAATACGACAGTCACAGGGACAGAAAGACTGGGGCTTTGGGCTAACAGTCCAAGCACATTGGTCAGATCATTCATCCACAGGAACAGCGGCACTGACAGCCAAGCCTGCAACACCCTGCGTACTAAAATAAGAACATGGATGCATCCAGCCAGTTCCAACATACAACTGGCTCAAGTGCAAAACCAAAACTAACCTCCAAACTAAGTGTTAGTAGGAATCGACAATAAACCCAATCTATTGAATTACTAACATTATGAATCTTTAGCCCCAGTTTGTGCCTCTCACTTATGACGATTACACCGGAGTCACAGAGATAAATACCAGGTGATCTTTAAAAAAGGCAGGAGGTAGTTTCACAAAACTTCTGAAGGTATTTGCAGAATCCTTAAAGAATCTTTAAGCCGTCAAGAAAAATAAAAAATATTCAGTTAATATTTTTAACCATTTTCCTAATCCAAACAAGTAGCCAGAAATCACATCTTTTTGCTCGATTTGTAAAATTTGAACCAAAATTAAAAGTTTATTATTATTTTATATTGGTATATATTGATGTTTCTTCCCAGTAATTTACATTTTCATACAGCATGTTTTAACATTTTGAATGTTTTGCTTTTGTTTTACCAAAAGGACATATGTTATTTCCAACTTCCCGGATTAGGAACACAACTTGAGAAGCGGTTAAAAATCTTTCTACTATTTTTTTATCCAGATGGTTAGAAGACAATTTGAGGAATTTGGAAATACCTCCAGAACAGGCATATGTGTTGTTAAAGGACATTCTGTTTTTTTTTAAAGATTGGCAATTTTTTTTTTTTTCTTCCGATAAACAGATGTTTAGCTCTGTGACTTGAATGTAATGGTAATGTATGAAAAGAGGGGTAAAACTGGGTCTAATGAATTTCCTGCCAATCTCCATCTACCGTTTCTAAATAATGTCTGAATTTATATAATTAAACTAAGAACAGCTACAACAACCAGCGGCACATAACCAGACATTCACTCTCTAAGAAGTCATACTATAACAGTAAAATAAAAAGTGCACTAGAACAGAAATACCATTTTTGTTAACAACTATAGTTGCATAGTGTTGATGATGATGATATGAATTTGTTCTTTTATAATAAACACCAAAATTGCAGTGTTTCAGTAAAGCTTGTGAATGAAGTGCTGGTGCTTGTATTTATTTAGCCCAGATAAAAAAATGTTTCTTTCTAAGATCTACTGACTGAACTCTCGTGGTTCACCTCTCCTTCTTTATCCTTGAACAGCAATTACACCCCTCAAATTGCTGGTGGGTGTTGCCTCTCTCAGAGGCTGGAAATGTGTTTTTTTTTCTTTCTTTCTTTTTTCCCTCTTGCCTCTGAATAAGATGACAGACACTCTTTACGCAAAATAACAGGGTTTGGAAATAAGAGGCTGCCAAAGCACGTTCCCAGCTCTCACTAATAGCGTGGAAATTGCAATTAATGTCCTTAATGGTCTTTAGTCAACCTTTTATCATGATTTGAGAAGGCCTCCATAATTTTAAAGAGCTATTTTTTTATTGTGATAATTTATTCTTTTATCAACCATCTAAGGGGTATATTCTGAGATATATGAAAGGTTTGCATATTCTGTTTCATCTCCTCTTTTTATCTCACATTGTGTCAGCCGTTTGGAGGGAAAAATGAGGGAAGAGGCGCTATAATGTTTTTAATGAAGAGTCTTAAAACAGTGTTTGTCAGTTGTTCTACTGTAAAGTAGCAGACATCACTGCTGCTGAAGAAGCTTGGTAGCTTTTATATTTGCATTTGAATTAAGCATTTATGTAGTATTTCTTTATTCTATGGACCAAATAAATGTTTATTATGTCTATCAATGCATTCCTACCCTGTTTGTGGCGCTCATACCCAAGTCCAATTGCTCCTACTGACGATAGTTCAGCTCTGTCTTGTTGTTTATAGCAAAAATGAATCAAATAAGAGTAAATTGTTTGTGACTATTTTCACACGTTAATCAATACACATTTGGTGCTTTTAGGAGTATTTACAGCAGCAGGACATTGTACTGTGTGAAGGATTGATTCAAAATACACTACAGTGCTCATGTTCATTGTGATGAAGGGACATGTCGCTCAGTGTAACAGTGTGACTCACTGATGTGTTTTTAACAGAGCTCTGTGGCACCATAAGAAATACCAGGCTTTAGCTACGCAGGCGATACTTGTTGTTGGGATCAATTCAGTGTTTGCTTTTCATGGAATTTGCTGCCTGTAAGAAAAATATATAATAGTGCCAACTTTAGATTTCAGTCCTTGTTGATTTGGTGACACCCGTAGTTACTAGTGGTAACAGAAAGTTGGCTTTAATAATACAGGTCCCAGAATTCTGGTGGCAGCCACACAAACTATTGTTGTTTTGATAAAGAAGTCTGGAAATAATTGGCCTTTTTCGATCATTCTGTGAGCAACCGTGATCTTATCTAATGTTGCACACAGCGTGAGTCTGTGAACAGCAGGGTCCAGTGAAAGGAGTGACTTACTGTGCTGAGAAGTTGGAGGTGTGCAGC